TTAACACGGCATATAAAACCCTCTCAAACATAATTCTTAGTAGACTAATCCCTTATGCTGAAAATGTCATAGGCGAATATCAAGCCGGTTTTAGAGCAAACAGATTAACAATAGAATTCAGAACATTCTATAAGAAAGTTAACATCAACAGAAAAGAATTCAAGGCAAACACAAATCAATGTAGAAGTTTGAATGGCGATTTATTAACAACAAGAACAGACGTACTAAATCGATGGACGGAATATTTTAACCAGATAATAAATATAGAGGAAGAAGAAGAAAACCCGGAAGACAAAAGCTGTGAGGTAAGCGGAGCAGACGAAAGAAGTTAAAGACGCTGCTAACAAACTAGCCAGAAACAAATCACCCGGAATAGATAATCTCCCAGCGAAATTAAATATAGAAGGTGGCCACGATATCATAATAGCGCTACGGCAGCTTATAAAAGAAATATGGATACAGACGTCCCTTCCCAGTGATTGGAATATTGGAATTATTTACACCATACACAAAAAGGGAGATATCTTTGAATGCTCTAACTATCGAGGAATTACGCTCCTAAATGCAGCGTATAAAATATCCTCCAATATACTATGCTATCGTATGGCACCGTATGCAGAGCGAATAATAGGATAATACCAGGCTGGTTTCAGAGGTGGTAAATCAACAATTCATCAGATTTTAACCCTGAGACAAATTCTAGAGAAAACACTGGAATACGGTGTAGACACGCACCACATATTTATAGACTACAAGGCAGCCTACGACTCTGTAAATAGAAGATAATTGTTTAGAGCAATGATAGACCTAGGGGTACCAAATCAGTTGGTAAGTCTGATCAAACTAACCCTTGAAAAAGTTTAATGCTGAGTACGAATCCAGGGGGAACTCTCTGAACCTTTTAATACAAATAACGGGCTACGTCAGGGAGACCCATTCTCCTGTATACTATTCAATGTATCTTTGGAAAAAGTAATACGTACGTCACAAATCACAACTACCGGTTCAATATATAACAAATCTGTGCAAATCCTAGCTTATGCTGATGATATCAACGGAAAACGCAGCACGAGAAGCGTAGGTAGCACTAAAGGAAGTGGCTACAAAATGGGTTTAATAATATACATTATTAATAAAACGAAATACATGAAAATAGTTAGCGAATTTTGTATACCTGGGAACGCTCATCAATACTGAAAATGACACTACCGCAGAGATAAACCGCAGAATTTTCACTGCTAATAAATTCTATTTTGGGCTTAATCTCCTTCTTAAATCTACAGTACAATCTTAGTTATATCAAGAAATTATTCTTCTTCTTCGGGTTCCATCTCCTAGCGGAGGTTGGAAATCATCATCGCTATTTTAACTTTGTTTCTTGTTATCAAGAAATACAAAAGTAAAACTCTACAAAACAATAATACGCCCAGTCATAACATATGGTTCAGAAACCTGGACTTTAACAAAAAGCAGTGAAAATATGGTAGGATGTTTCGAAAGAAAAATACTAAGGCGAATGGAGCAGTAAATGAAAATGATGTCTGAAGAAGAAGATACAACTTCGAACTCTAGAATATACCAGGAACCAGATATCGTAAAACACATTAAGATAGGATGTCTGAGGTGGGTAGGCCATGTAATGCGGATAGAGCAAACCGACCCAGCTAGAAAAATGCTCCTTGATAGATCTATTGGTCAAAGAAGAAGAGGAAGACCCAGAACAATATTCCTAGATAACATAGACTAAGATATGAGAAATATGAAAGTACGTGCTTGGCGGAGGAAGGCGATGGATAGGGACGACTGGAAGATAATTCTTGGGGAGGCTAGAACCCACACAGGGTTGTAAAGCCAAAATGATGATCATGATGATGATCAACAATAGATCAACTATTCACGCTAAGACAACTAGAAAAGAGATGGGAGTATAACAGACCCATACACAATCTTTTCATAGACTTTCGACAGGCATATGATAGCGTAAACAGAAGCTAAGTATGGATTGCCATGGCGGAGTTCTCAATACCAAAGAAACTCATTCGTATGACCAAAGTCTGTATGGAGGGTGGAATATTTAAAGTACATGTAAATAGTAAACTGTATGAAACATTTGAAATCAACAGTGGACTCAAACAGGGTAATGCGTTATCTCCACTACTTTTTAACCTTGTATTAGAGAAAGCCATGAGGTCGCCCGAAATAAAAACAGAATTGCTATCGGTCCAAGGTCCCAAGCTTTTACTCACATATGCAGATGACACAGATCTCGTTGGAGACTCCATCCTATCGACAACAGATATCTTCAACAAGGTGGAAGAAGCAACAAGTGAAGTAGGGCTGAAGATTGATGAAGAGAAGACGAAATATATATGTATAAATAGAACGACACGAAGAGACAGAATAATAAAAATGTGACGGTCAACACCTACAATTTCGCAAAAGTACAAAGTTTTAGGTATCTGGGGGCCGTAATCGCGGTTGACAACGATGTTACTGAAGAAATAAAAGAAAGAATCCAATCTGAATCCGCTGTATATTTGCACTGGATAAGGTCATACAATCAAAAAATCCTACAAGAAGCTCAAAGATCAAAATCTATAAATTCATCGTTATACCTGTAATACCATATGCATGCGAAACGTGGATCATGACCAAAGCAAACGAAGAAAAGCTGACATCACCACAAACCAGTATAAGATCAGAACCAATATCGAATTAAAAGCACTCTCGAATGACGCCGATATTTTCCAAGAAATTAAATCACAGCGACTAAGATGGACTGGTATGGGAGGAGATTCCCACAGGAAAAAGTCCAGTCGGATGTCCCAGAATGCGATGGAGTGATAACATCCAAGCAGATCTCCGGAAAATAAACATTCCATTTGACCGTATGTTTATGGAAGACCGAACAAATTGGAAAAAAGGTGTACAGTCAGTCAAGGCCCACCCAGGGTTGTAGCGCTACGTGATGATAATGATGAGGAATATGCCTTACCATATTGCAATTAATATTTTAAATTTTTGATGAGTAGAATGATTTGAAAAATGTTATCAAACACTCACTTTCAATCTCTAAAGTAAATTGTATATGTTTATTAAAAATATTGAAAATATTTGGCGATAGAATTTCTTTTTAAAGCTAAAATAGGCGTTGCCAATAATATATTGTTTAAGTAATAAAAAGGTATTCTTAAAAATTCTTGTATGATTCAGAATTAAATACCATTTTGATTGTATTATGTTAATGATAATAACCAATAAGGTCATCGAAATGCCATCAAAAAAAAAGAGAGAAGACATCATCCCTAGCACATGCCATAACACAGAATACAAAATAAACTTTAATGAAGCAACAATGCTGGATTGAAAATAGAATCAAAAGTGTAATCAGAAAAACAATAGAAATTTGTTTTCTATTGTTGAATCCAATGAAAAATGGTAATTAACTCCGAAAAAGTAGTCCTCTTAAAAAATATAAGAGAGAACCCAAGGAACAGCTGACGGTGCAAAACAATCCCATCGAATGGAACAGAGATGCTTAATCCTAGGAGTCACAATGGACCACGAACTGACATTTTAACAGCACGTAGACACAGCAATACAAAAAGCAGCAAAAGCTAAAGCTTAAATGAGAGGACTCGTAGGTAGAAAATTCAAACTACGCACAAAAACAAAATTCAGATTGATAACTGCCTATATTGACATATGCATCTCTCTCATGAAGACATATCTGCACTACTAGCAGAAAGAGGATACAAGTGACCCGCAACAGTCTACCTCTTCTTGTTCATATAATTACCACAAGAATGGGTATATACATGATGGTTGAAAATGCCAGAGTTAAGTTTGCTGAGCTAGAAAACCATTTAAGTCCGATACTGCGAGAGATAATAGGCACATTCAGTTCGAATATACGTCAATAGGGAAAGCAGGAAAAAAGCGCAACACGCTAGTATGAATTTATCGAATTAGATGTTCTTCTACCGAGTCTTGTTGAAGTTCTTCTACCGAGGACTCTCACAGGATAAGCACTTCGCTGATAAGATAACCTCTATCGCGTATCAGAGCGCTATAGGGGTGAAGAGATGGTCTGGAGCATTGGAAAGGTGAAGTGGGTCCTGGTTTCACGAATGAATCCACCTTAATTTAATGAATTAAAACACTCGAATGTTCTTCTAAGGAACATGCAGTTCTTTCAGGCTGGGTTCAATAAAATTGCTGCTGCTCCTTAGAAATCAGTTCTCTTGGAACTTCAGGAAAAAATAAAACTAGTCTGACCTAACAAGGACAAGTGAGACCTTGTCAAAACATCGTCAAAACAATAGCTATATCAAAAGTTTCTATAATGATTTCCTACACTTTAAAAAGCCTAAATCTGAAAATATCTTATTAAATTAACCTCTGATTTTAATCTGATTTTTTAATTGCTCACCAATGTCGCCTAGTCCTCTTTCCCTAGATAACGCGGTAATGCTCTTTGTACTGCACAACAAGGATAATGTTTGTTTTGTAACTTATATGTATTATTCTTAAATAATTGTATTAATAATTGTTATTATATTAACAAATTAAATAAACCACAGTATTGTACAGCTTAGTATCAGGGCATTTTCTTTAATTATAAGTGGGAAACACCATCGAATGCGTTCTTAGTTTATGCAACCGAGTTCGTGTGTTTATTAAAAACTTTTTGGACAAATTATGAAAAAACCGATTATTAAAATTATTGATAGAATGAATTTTTGTAAAACTCTATTTTTATCTCGCTTTAATATACCAAATACTTCAACCTCTTCGCCTTGTGTTTTGAGATTCAGTAATTATACATTTAAAATTACTCATAGCTCATAATCTGCATGTATTGAAACAATACACAATTAATAAAAGTATAAACATATGCATGCATACACTTCCAGTCAAAGTAGCTATTAAAATTGTCACTAATTGAACCTTTTCTTTATGATAAATTCTCCTCAAACTCGAAACAGATTATAGTGGTAGTGAGAAGTTCGAGAAAATACAACTATAATGGTGGAACGATTGCTTTTTTGTGCTATTGGATTACTTGTTTTAATATTTAACGTGAAGGTAGGGCAAACGTGTTACAAATATTTAAATATTTTTCAATGAATATTGATTAAATTAGTTCGGAAACTTTTTTTTGTTGATACTCATTCCTTCTTCTACTCTTCATGTGCCATGTCCGCTACGAAGGTTGGCTATCCTTACGGCAATTTTGACACTAAATGCTGCTGCTCAGAACAGTTCAATAGAATTGCAAGCAAACCATTTTCTTAGGTTTATCAACCAATACATTCTTCTTCTTCTTTCTATACAAGGCTAACTTTCAATTTTTTTTTCATAATCACTTGTCATCTAACAGTTAATATTTATTTTTGCATATAACCTGTCTCAGTTTAATTTTCTTATTTGAATAGTCTATGGGACCTCTTTTTGTTTGTTTATTGTGTATCTTGGTTAGGTTAGGTTAGGTGTCCTTCCAGAAGATCCAGGTCCTTTCAACATCATACATATTAAATGCTTCCAGCTTATTCTATTCTATGGATCTAAAGCCCAAGTCGAGACCTAGCTTCCCTCAGCAAACCTCACCATTCGTTACTGTCTGTAGCCATTCTCCTTCACGATTGACTGCCAAGGAGATTTTTTGTGTGCTTATTCACATTATACTCCCATCTCTTTATCGGTCTTCCAATTGGTCCTTCCCCTACATTCTTACATTCAACCGTTTTTTTAAATCCTGTTTTATTGCATCCTAGCTACAACTGATTCATGCATTGCGTATTTAGCGTCCATACATTTACCACATAAAGCAATTCTGAGAGAACGTATAGCATAAGTTCTTTCCATTTTAGTCTTATACACTATAGTCTTTGTTTTCTATTCATTGTTTTTTAGTTATTTATATATAAAATAAGTGATGAGGTCATCAGAGTTTCACAGTAAACTCTTCTGCAGCTATTTACCTTTAGCTGAGGAATAAGAATATGACAAGTTCATTAAATGGATGGAAGAGCAAAAAGTCTCAGATCCAGATGAATGAGTTGTGCTTGCTTACCTTCAGAAAATGTCGAAAGAGTACATGAAATGAATGGAAGTTCAACTCCATTGGCTTCCGAGAATGTCGGTAGTATTAATTTGAACAGTATTTCATCTGATTTAAAAAACGGAAGTTTAAAGATTTCGAACAATGCCAACTGTACTTTTCACTATTTCATATTTTATTCATATTTTTATTTGACGTTACCAGGTATGTAGGTACTCCTGTCAGATCAGATCAATATTTAAAACCGTTGATGTTGCCATGGTAACATTAAAACACTCGCGTTTTTGAAAGTTGAATTTAAACTCGCTGAGGCATTCTTTAAATACGCAACATGGGGTACCAATAAAAAAAATAAATTTTTTAAAATTACTTTTTAGGGAATGGACCAAGAAATGCAGGAATTGGCTGATATGTTACACAACACTTGCATTGGAGAAACTGGAGCTAGTGAAGGTTAGTGTTCAAAAATTATATTCAGTGTTTAATAATATTAATTTGTTTATAAATATAAAAATATTCACGGGCCTAATTTAAGTTACTCTCTGGTTAAGAAGTATGTGAGAGATTAAAAAAAAAGCAAAAGAAAAAGATCCTTGCTTTAGGATTTTTAGTCTCTTTAAGAAATGTTGAATTTTAAGGTGAACTGGGTTTTGGAAGTGACTTGTAAATGCTAAGATAATAGTATTGTTCTGAAGCTATTTTCTTGTGGCATTGTAAATTAATTACCATCTAACTGGGAATAAACCACAATTAAAGATAAAAATACGTTTATTGACGTTTTAATTCCCACTTCGGAAATCGTTCTCAAAATACAAACAGTAAATTAAACAAATTTTGTTTTTTGTTACATAGTGAAAAATTCTTCTAATAATTTAATTTTATCTGACTCATTTGTATTGACAATTCAGACATACATTATGCATTTTAAAGTAGACGACTTTAAAATAATACTGCCAATATTGTTGAGTTGCGCTCCTGGGACGACTTTACTTATAAGATAGTTCATTCTATTACATGAAATCAACTTTAACTTGAGAATATCCGTCAGAAAAAAATCATAGCATGTAATTCGTCTTTAAAAAGACAAACACATGGCATGATGACAGTAAAATTCTCGTAAATTAAACGTGTAGCGGGAAACTGGATACAAGCGGCCCAGTGTAGAGAACACTGGAAAGAACTGAGGGAGGCCTATGTCCAGCAGTGGACGCAATTGGCTGATTGATGATGATAATATTTCATGTTAAAAGAGATCAAATGGTAAAATTTAATAAAAAATATTAGGCGGTTGATCATCGAATAATTTTTATATTACAACAAAGCTAGCATGTCATAAATTTGTTTAACGGTTGATTTGTAAAGATATACTTATACCTTCAAGAGTTAAAGCTATAAGCAACATTAAAGATCCAAAGCCAAGTTAAAAAAAACATATTTGTTGTTAAATATAATGCAATTATTAGAATGACAACGTTTAATAATTTTTATTTGTTAGAGAATTGTATAAACATTATTATATTTTTTATACTCCTCTATAAACATAATGTTACTTTTAGTTAATAAATTTACAAATAAATTAACAAATACATATTTCTTTAAAAGTTTACACTTCAAAAGGCCCACGTACAAAATTTGATTGATGTCACAGATCCAAATTTATCTTTCTCCATTTACATTGATTTTTTATTTTCACAAGAATAAATGTTACACCCTCTTACTAACACCAATAAAGTACTTTATGAGTAATACTCAACTTCTTTAATAAGAGGGTATTGAAAATTCGATAAAATAGCACATAACTGAAATATCACGGTTATTTGTGACATGTAAAAATTTGGAATTTGCTGCAATATAACTCTTTACTCTTCAGATCGCCCTCTCAACATGTATCCCAGCTTTTGTTATGGTTTCTGTTTCACACACCTGTGCCTCTGTAAACTCTGTCTTGCTAAAAAAAAAGTATTCCTATTATATTAAGATATGTATTTAAATCCGATTTTAAGCTTACCGTTTTTCTGGAGTGGAGATCACAAACTTTCTCTCTCTGTTATGCTCAAAAATTGTAGGTCCATTTTTCCTATCTTGTTCCACAAAATGACAACTACAAACTAACGAGTACTTAGATGGTTCTCTAACATGGTTGATGGTTGGTTCCCTAAGATGCCTTCTAAAAACAGACCAAAATAAAGTTATTAATTTTAGCCTAACATACAAATAGCACAATTGCATTTTAAATTATTTTTAAAAATTATGACAGATACATCGTATAAATCTGAAAAGACAATCACAGAATATTTAAAATATAAGCAATATTAAAACAAACTAATAACTTCTTTTACCTCATGAGACTGATGCACTTCTGCTTCTCTGAAATTTTCGAAGGGAATACAAAACACTTGTTTGCTCACTGTAATGTTTACAGTTTGGAGCAAAGCACATAACCATTTTTATTATTAATGGGATGGATGTAATAATAAAATAACAGTCCTTTCCTTATAAAGAGAATATCTTCAGTACTTTTGGGATAAAATTATTGGCACCTAAAAAAAATTAAACATAAATTTAATTTTTTTTAACTTTGTAAATAAATTCAAAGATTTATTGATTAATGTTGAAATAACCTGATAAAAACAACAACAAAATACCTTAAAATAAAAAAAAAATAATTAAAATTTTAATCTACTACAATATAACCTCAAAATATGAACTTTGAGAGTAAATATCTTAATAATTTGACAAAATGACTCTTACCTCACAAATTCACAAACAACCTATAAAACCAACCGCACAGAATGGATATATGGAAGCGAAAATCCTTATTTATTCTTTTAAATGTTACAAAAATCAACGTTTCCAATGCCTTATGGGAGAAACACATGTAAAGGAGATTTGTTTGGAAAGGTTTTCAAAATTCCCACCTATTGTGACGTGAGGACTTAGGTAGTCCACTAAAACTACTATTTTGATATAACTAGATTGCATAATCCAGATCTCACACTCACACGCGTCTGTAATAATAAGGTTGTAACTTTGAGAGCAAATGAAGTGAGCATAAAGTCTGGATGAAAGAAATAGACTAAACAGTCTATTAGACAGTGTTTGGTTGACTACAATAAAATGGTCTACCAGGCACTATCAATATGGTAAAAGAGAAAAGAAATCTGACTATGAAATTGAAATACTAAAAATTAGAACAAAATTGAAAGCAGTGTATAAATGAAGTATAATTCAAGCAGTTCAGTTAAACCACCAGCCAATGGGAGAACTGTACAAGGAATATGTAAAAGCGTTACTAAAGACCAACTGACCAACAGTGAAAGATGTTAAAATATACAACTGTGGAATTGCTATATCTAATTTAACCTGAGTAAACTAGTTTTTTAAATTGTTGAAGAATACAATAGTAATGTTGATCAAAGTATGAAACTGATAAATTCTTAATGCGTATACTCAGTGCAGGAAGTCTAAACAGTCGATTTATTAATGTTTATTACATTCTACGCATGCTGGATAGCCCAAACTTGACGAAGTAAGTCTAATACGTTAATCCATTAGTCCATCCGTTAGTTCATTAACTTCGAGTTTTTATCGAAGTTAATTAATTTACTTTATTTAAAAAAAACGTTTTTTTGGCATATTTCAGGTGCCCCTGAAGATGCTGTTTTAAGCGAAAGTACTTGGGCAAGATTTAATTGTTAAAATTGTGATTGATATTTGCCTTTCATTTTCAAAGTTCATCAGATGTATAAAAGAAGAATAGGTACCTGAGAAGTACGTAAGGCTCGTAAAGGATCTGAGTAAAAAAGCATACAACAAAGTAAACATGTGTGTTAGACTGATCGAAAGTTTTCCAGTGGCGGTTGGTTTGCATCATGAATCTTCACTAAGTTTATTCTGTTTATTTTGGTTATAAATGTATAAACTGAGAAATTAAGTTGTATGTATGTATAGACTAAGTGCAAACAAATATTGAAGATGTAAGAATGTTAAAGAAAGGCTATTAAAGAAGGAGGACTTGTGAAGGACAAATAATAGTTATCAAGAAAATCTCCTTTTCAAAAACATGGCTCAATTAGAACAATAAACCTGATTCAAAATATATTAAGGAGTTATCAGAAGACTTAGATAAAATAACTAACAACATTAGTTATCAAAATTATAAAGTATACTAATATACCGAATAAATGAAGCCAACTAATCTTTCTATTTAAAAAATGGAATAAAAACTTTAGGAAACTACAGAGTCTAAACTTGTAAAATACTACTCTAATACTACTAAAATTTTGTAAAAGCTAATAAATCATGGATAGATAGGCAACTTGTTTAAGAAAACCGTTCTGATATAATCCCTAGGAGTCAACACTATACTATTGCCTTCTTCAGAGCATTTGAAACACAATTATCTTAATTACTATTTAACTGGAAATAAGCGACAATTAAAGATAAAAATATGTTTATTCACGTTTCAATTTCCACTTCGTAGATCCGTTCCACTTCCGTTCCACTTGTGTAGAGAAGATAATTACATTGTTTACAACACTAATGAATTATTTAAATTTTTGGTATATTAAATATATTTTTTAAATTCATCCTGTGTTTTTTTCACAGCGCAAACCCTTGTATACTTAATGAAACACTATTTACTTTTTGAAAAGTTTATTAATGTTATAAAATTTATATATAAAAATTTACACAGTTTTTAAGTACTCACTATGGCAATTTAATAGAAAGGTTTTCACAGAATGTTATATTACAACTAAAAGTCCTTATTCACTACTTAAACTAGGAGAAAACGAATATCTTTAGTCGTTTACTGGATAGAATCATCTTTGGAATCACTGACATCTAAAAAGAATAAAACATTAATTTAAATATTTTTAAACTTCATAAATAAATTCAATGATTTAATGATTTATATTATAAAATAACCTTGATAAAATAGCAACAAAATACATTGAAATAGAGAAAAAATAATTAAAGTATTAATCTAACACAATATAACCTCAAAATATGAACTTTAGCAGTAAATATCTTAATACCTTGATACTCTTACCTTACAAATTCACGAACAACCTATAAAACCAATCGCAAAAGCAAACATCCTTATTTATTCTTTTAAATATTAAAAAAAAAATCAACTTTTCCAATATCTTATGGGAGAAACACATGTAAACGAGATTTGTTTGGAAAGGTCTTCTACGCCCCGCCCATTGTGACGTCAGACTTAGGTAGTCCGTTGGACCCATCGAGCAAAAAGACAAAAGAGGGAATGTAAAGGTAGTGGGGGCAAATGGGGCATATTGTTAGACAGGAAGTGCAATCTTTAGAGGCCACATTAAACAAGCAAAGAGAGTCTCTCTCCTTGTTTGACATCAAATTTAGTTGGGTTATGTTATTGTTTGTCCCAAATGTCACATGAAACCTTGTTTTGTTGTTGAAAGTTTTTTAACAATTGTGTCGCGTTTTAGACTCTTATCATTACTAATTAATTAAAACTTTCTCGTCTAAGACACATTCTGAAAAATATTATATAGCTACTGTTGATAAGTGTCGGAAAATTTAAATTTGGCGCATTCGCATTTCCGGATATGTCCGCCATCAGAGGCCACTTTTTTGGTCTCCTTTTCATAAGCATTAGATTCCCTCTTTTGTCTTATTGCTCGATGGTTGGACCTTTGGTCAATGTCAGCTTACTTACACAGAATTTATTATGTGCAGATCACATAGCCATGACTCTGACTGCCCATCAAAGCTGTCATATGTCACATGTCACCATAGCATTTCCATTAAATTAAATACCATTCTCTCTCCTGTTACTGACAAAAAATGTAGAGCGTAGAACCATTCAATTAATTTTACTGTTTGTCCTTGTTTTAGTGTAGTGTTTAGTACAATTTTATGTTAAAATTCAAGTTTATCACATTCTACGCTTGCTGGATAGCCCAAACTTGACGAAGTAAGTCTAAAACGTTAATCACAAAAAACTTTTATCATCCATTAACTTCGAGTTTTTATCAAAGTTAATTAATTTCCTTCATTTAAAAAAACGTTTTTTGGCTTATTTCAGATGATGATATTTCAGAAGATGCTGTTTTAAGCGGAAGTATTTGGGCAAGATTTAATTGTTTGTTCTGTATAGTTGCCTTTTTTCTTTATTCTTTTTGTTTGTTCATTTATTTCATAATAGTGCTGTTTATTTGTTATATATTCTTTTTCTCCAAGGGCTTCGAGTGCTGCTTTTTTATACTCGCCATTATATGCTCGTATATTTCTTCGATGTTGCCGTATTAAAATTCTGTTAATTTTGGTCTAGGCCTTGTTGGTATAATTCTCTTATGCCTGGTTGCACCAACATATCTTAAGCTTAAGACGTGCCTTAGGTAGGCCTCAGCTCAGACTGATCGACCGACCACGACCAAACCGTCCGACGGCGATCAACCAAATTTTGTATTTTTATTTCTAAGAATATAAAGAATATTTTAGAATCAAAAATTATGGTGCAACGTAAGTGAGAGTTAAGGCAGCCCTAGCTATAAGCAGAGCTTGGCTAAGATGGAGCTTAAGATCTATTTTGTGCAACCAGGCATTATTGATTGTTCTTGGAGTAGTTCTATATTGTATTGTTTTTCTCTTATAGTGTTCAACGGTTCTTCTGTAAAAGGGGTCTTGTTATGTTTCCAATTAATGCCCATTTTTGCTGTCAGTAGTTTAGGGTCCGTTTCCTATTCTGCTCCTCTTGTGACTCGCACATCTTTGATCTTTATTGTGGTATCTTGTTTGATAATATGTAGTCTATTATTGATTTCAGCTTTCATGTTTCTTGCGTCCATGTATATTTATGAATATTTTTATGTCTAAAGAATCCGTTGGTGATTTTTAGGTTGTTTAGTTCGCATAATTCAATAGACGTTCTCCGTTATCGTTTTGTTCATTCTATCTAAATCTCCCCAGTAGTTTATCGTTTTCTTTCCTTTCGGTTCTGTCCTTAAATCTCTCGTATTATAATTATCTCGACGTTCTTCTTAATTAGCTCTATCTGATGTTGGAGTTATTCCGTGAAACGTGTTTTTTATTTATATTTAATATTCCTCATTAAATGTATCTCCAATCTATAAGTGGCATCTATAAAAATGCATTTTCTTCTCTATAAAATAGGTGTGGATCAAATCACATCTGTGACTCACCTGTCATAAGAATTGACGGCATGGTTTCTAAAGTTATACATATTTTAGTATGCGATTCATGCTGGGTTAAATGACCCCTTAAAAATCTCCCACGGGCGTGTAGTCTACTATGTTAACCAAATTATAATTTTTTCAAATGCATATAGGTACTGCTGGGTCACTGTGAAAAATTGCATAATAAACTGAAAGTAAATATGTTTTTGTTATTTTTAGATGATATTAGTAACGCAAAAAAAGGAACATTTGCCGATAAAGAAGAATTTAAGTGCTATATCAAATGCTTAATGGCTCAAATGGCCTGTGTAAGTATAACAATTTTTACATAATCTTGATATATTTTTAACAGCGATTTTTAACCCCTTTTTTGTTTCATTTAATACCATTTACTATCCAATAGCTACGGGTGAACGAACCGGGAAAATATATGTATTAGTATTAATATTGAATAATTTAATGAGAGAGCTAGGTACACTTGATTGAGATCGTTAATATACTTAGAAACTTCTTTACATACTCCTACCTCGTATGGAGACCCCTATGGGAAATAACAAATATCCATTAAAATTGTCTGCTTCACTGTTTAATGAATTTTGACTAAAATTTCTAGTCATCATAAATTTTGAATGGTAAGTTCAATGTGAGGAAGGAATAAAGATATTAGAAGGAGGACAAATAGTGTATATATTCCAGTGTAGACAGAATTGAAACAAGACAACTAGTGTGGTACGGTCAGGTAAAGCGAATGAATGAAGATAGATGATCAGAGAAAGCTTTTAATTACATACCACAACCAAGAAAAAGAAGCGGAAACCCTTCAAAAACCTGGGAAGAAAATGAACGGTACATAATGAGAGATAGACAGCTATCAAAGAAGACTAATGGCTGGACAGAAGACGATGTCGGTCGAAATGAGAGAACCGGCAGAGGCTGTTCTTACAGCCTATGCCGGTTCTCTCATTTCGACCGACATCGTCTTCTGTTCGATGTTCCCATATTTTGGTCAAACGTATCAATATCTAATCACTTACGATGATATTCAGATCAGGGCTGTAGACAGGCCATTCTAGAGTATCAATTCCTATTTTCCCCAAGTAATTTGTCAAGAGTCTTGCAATATGCGGCCGTGCATTATCATGCATATAGACGAGAAATTGTACCCAATAAATGGACCAAATAGAACTGCTGCTTCTGCCAAAACATCCTCTATATACCGGTGAGCATTCAGGGGGTCATTGATGAAAATAAGTTCAAATAAGATTCTAGCCCAAACCATGACTCACCAGCTCCATTCTTTCTTTTCTGGGACATACAAGCTTAGGTATATCTTTCATTTCTTTGTCTCCAAACACTCTCTCGGCCATTGTCAGACTTCAAACAGAACCACGATTCATCAATAAGGAGAATTTGGCTCCAATCCTGTATATCCCAGTGTTGATGTTTTCGAGCAAAAATTAATCGATTCTCACAGTGTCTGAGTTGTAATTCCGGAACTATAGCCGGTCATCTTGCAATAAGCCTTCTTTCATTAACGCGTCTTAAAATGACTTAAATTTACATTTCTACCCTCCTGTAGTAGGTTTATTGTAGCAATTGCAGTAGAATGACGATTTCTTAAAAGTTCCATCACAATAAAACGATCATCTCTTTGTAAGGTAACTCTCCTACGACCGGAACCAGGTCGACGTAAGTATGTACCAGTGTCTAGAAAGCGATGGAAAGCTCTTCGTACTGTAGTTCTTGAAATACCTAAAGTTTTGGATACATTAAATTAACTTCTTCCATCTTGTAGCAATGTAATAATTCAAGCAGCATCTACTACATATAACACGATACCTTAATTATTCACTTGGTCGAAATCCACGTTTAAAAAGCTTAATAACAGTTTAATTAAATGTTTTCATCTTGGAAGATAAAAACCGACTACAGAAAACAACAACATAAACGACAAAACTATCAAAAACAAAGCGTACATGATCGCAATAAATATTTAAATTGAAACGCAATATGAAACAGTCCATAAAACTTTCAATGAATTTTTATTTTCGGAAATTTATAGGATGTCCACTTTTTTTGCCGTTCAGTGTAGTAATCATCAGTTGCATATGATAATCTAATGTCATACAAGTATGTTTTAGTTTATTTTGAAATAAAACATCACAAATTAGATAGTGGCAGCTATTACTAGAGAATAAACTTTTTGCATGTGTTTAAATATAAACACTTGCACACGTGCGAAATAAATAAACTATCAAGGAAAAATTTGTTATGTTAAGAAAATATTAGAGTTTAGTGTTATTCCGAGATTATTTTGTTGTGATATCGTAGTTTTTATCGACAAAAAAGAAAATTATAACATGTTTTTGATATTTCTGCAAGTTATTTAATAAAATAATATCTTTAATATAAACATTATATTTTCCAATTTGAAAACACAAACGCCAAACATAGAATTTATTTTATAATTATTTATTGTGGCGTATTTTCAATATCATCCATAACAATTCTCTTAGAATTATTTGACATGCGCAACTTCCTTGATGGCAGTACCTTTTTGTCTATGTTTGTATCCTGGGCCATAGCAATATCTCATGTTAAAACATGTGTTTTCTGAATGTTTTTCGCCAAGTCTTCTTTGTTTTGGATATCTCTATTTACAAAAAATTACTCTTAAAAAGATAGGAACCGTTAGCGGTTCTTTTTTTTAAATTAGATGGCGTTGGTAAACACCAATTACCAAGACAATTTTTTTAACTATAATAATGTAATTTACCGTAATTAAAAACTCAACCTTTTTCACGACTACAATGTTTAAAGTATTAGTAAAAAGTTAGTCTGTAAGCAAATTTTTCTTTTGTTTTCTTTTTCTTATTTATTTTAACTTAACATGACAACCATTTGAAAGATAAAGATGAATGCAAATCATAATTTCTTACAGATCACAAACATTTAAAGCAATATACTAGTTATTTATGTGTTAGTTTTGATCTTCAAAAAGTTTTTAACACCCCTCACATAGACAACTTACTTTTGTATTATTCTCGTAAATACGCCATGTACAACGAAACTGTCTATGAAAGTGGAAGCAAAGACGCTTTTTGCTACCTCTGGGGTGAAACAGATGGTAATCGTGGTAGTAACGAAATAAGTACAGTTATTTTTGAATGCATAAAAGAAATTTATGAGAGGAAATATGTCAAAACAGTGACTTTGTATTGTGACAGTTGTGCTGGTCAAAATAAAAATAGAGCCATGTTAGGCATGTTGCATATATTCTTAGGATCATCAAGAAATATATGTAACATTAAAATAACATTCGTTATTACTGGCCACACTTAAATGCCTGTAGACTCAGTGCATGCTTTTATAGAACGATTCATTTGCAAACGTATTGTATGGGCACCTTCCGAATGGCCAATATTAATTGCCAATGCAAGAATTCACCCAAGACCGTTCAAAGTCATTGTTATGAAACATTTAGAATTTGAGGATTGGAAGACAAAGGCAGCGCATAATTTACTTAAAAGTATTAATAAGACGAGTGATGGTAGCGCCTTCCAAATTAGCAAAATAAGAGTGGCATATTTAAGCGCACATTCTGCCGATTTCTAGCAAACCAAAAGCCAAAGGTAAGACTTATAAAGTGGATATTTTTAACTTGTAATACTATTTTACTAGGTTACTACATTTTTTAGGCAGATTAAGAAATACAACACACGAAGTCAAAATTCTATATCCATCTCCTTTAAGTATCTCGGATAAAAAATATGATGATCCTAAAAAGCTCTGCGAAAATCGTGTTATTCCCGAAAGATTCTGAAATGGGTATCCAACTTAAAAAGCAAAAACCGATGTACCAGATGCCTTAACAGAAACAGACAAAGAAGAAACAAAACTGCACATTTTTTAATATTAATAGTATTCTATAAAATAATTTCTGAATTTTCGGTTTTGTTTATTATTGAATAACTTTTGAGGTAACTTATATTTACTATATACTTTATTGTCGCTTGCGATGTTCTGTCAAAAAGCCATCGATATGGACAAAACATCGTAGGTGCATCGTAAGCTAAATTTAAGCAAAAATTTTGCTTGACAGAACATCATAAGCGACAAAATAAATACAATTAATTGTCCATTTTTCCAATTTTGACCTTAAAAACAATTCTTGGAAATCTAGAAACCTACTGTACAATTTTTATTAAATTTCAGTTTAACAGAAAGTAGTTATTTAAAAAAATCGATTCCTGTAAATTTGCTACTTGTCACTTACGATGTTCTATCAAAAATCCATCGAAACTACCGCTTTTCCTTCACATACAACTTAATGCGTTAGAAAGAAATCGTAAAACTGTAACACACTGAAAGAAGGCTCTCAGAAAAACTTTATACTGACGTTGTATTAATTTTTTTCCATAGTGGAATGCAACAACGAGTGTAACATAAGTAGCGCATTTCGTGGCGCTACTTCTACTACAGAAACGCCTTGGTAAGACGGTGTAAACAGTTGGAGGAGTCTATTAAATCGACGAGGAGAGTCCGTTATACAACATGTAAACTATTTCAATTTTATTAAAATCTATAACAAGGATATTATTATTTGAGTCATGTATATCTTCACCCCGTACTTATTAAAATTAAACGTATTATTAAACGTCATTTAAATAACATATTTCTTTGGTATGTATGTAGAGACACACAAAGTAGATTAAAACTATTACATCTCCTGAAGAAATAAAATGATTTTATTAAACATTTTATGCAGTTGGGTTAAATATTTTATTTTTAGATAATAATCAATATCACAACCCACAATACAATAATATTTGAAATACGCTTTGCAAATACCCTATCCATTTAAATTGTCATCATTTATTTTTAGATAGACGATGATGGTATTATCGATGAGGAAGCTACTATAGCGGTGTTACCTGAAGAGTACCGCGACAAAGCTGCTCCTGTCATTAGAAAATGTGGAACAAAAAGTAAGTATTTTAGTAAAACTTTAGTATTTAGTATTTAGTAATTTTTTTAAGATTGTAAGAAATCTTTATAGTCCAGGCTGTGAGGCCGCTCCCGTTGGGGAAAATGTTTCTGATTCGGTTTCTTCGCGGATTCCGGTTCAAAAATGTCCCCTTTAAATAAATCTGAAGGGTGCCGGGCAAAATTTTTGGGCAGAAATTGTTTAAAACAATTTTTTTAAACAAAGTCCAAAAATAATTTTTTTTTAATCTGGAAAATATTTTTTTAGGTTTTTTGGGCCATTTTAAACAAAAAAAGTCTCTTGTCATTTTTCTCTAAAGTTGATAGTTTCGAGTTATAAGCGATTTAAAGTCTGAAAAACGCGAAAATACGCATTTTTGAGGCTTGAAAACACATATGTAAATTATTATTTTTGAGGTTACCAAGTGTCTAAATTGAAGTTTAAACATTCAACTTCAAGATTGTGAAGAGTAGTCGGGGCTTATTTTAATTTAGAGATTAATAATAGATAATTTAGAGATTTAGAGATTTTTTACACTAGATTTTTCAGTACGATAGAAGCGCACTCTAGCGCGCCGCGCCGCGGCGGCTGAAAAATCTAGTGTACGCGCATATTTAACAATTAAAAAACAACGGTCTAAATTAAAATAAGCCCCGACTACTCTTCACAATCTTGAAGTTGAATGTTTAAACTTCAATTTAGACACTTGGTACTCTTAAAAATAATAATTTACATATGTGTTTTCAAGCCTCAAAAATGCGTATTTTCGCGTTTTTCAGACTTTAAATCGCTTATAACTCGAAAACTATCAATTTTAGAGAAAAATGACAGGAGACCTTTTTTGTTTAAAATGACCAAAAAAAACCTAAAAAAATGTTTTCCAGATTAAAAAAATATTTTTGGAATTTGTTTAAAAAAAATTGTTTAAACAATTTCTGCCCAAAAATTTCGCCCGGCACCCGTCAGATTTGTTTAAAGGGAACATTTTTGAACCGGAATCCGCGAAGAAACCGAATCAGAAACATTTTCCCAACGGGAGCGGCCCCACCGCCTGGACTATTACTAGTAGGTTAACTGCAACAGACTTTAATTTCCTCGTTAAATTACATCATAGAACTTTATGGATTTTTCTTTTTTATGATCACTAAATATGATACACTTATACTATAAATTTTACGTCAAACTTTCATCTGTGGAAAGTTTCATATTATGATGTCAACGTATTGTTTTAATTTCCTAATACGTAAAATTAAGTGCCTACAGCATTACAAATATTCTTATTGATAAATACTCGATTAGTTAATCTACCTTTCTTTTTTTTTGTGTTGGATATAAAACGTTTGTAAATAAATTTGTTTTAATCAAATCACTGTTGCGCGTGAAAAGGGGGACAAGTCATAAAATGTGAAAACGAGAAAGACACTATTTAAAATTTTACAAAAAAATGATGTATTTTTACAGATGTTTTGAATGATAATCTACTTGAAATTTGTTCTTACATGTACTTTTCCAACATGGCTTAATATGTTTTTGCTGAGTATTTGGGAAAAAAATATGTTTAAAACGATATTTGTTTGACTTACCTCGTTTTTCACAAATACTCACATGACATACACCCTTTTATAGTTTATTTTTATAAACGAGAGAGTAATTAGCATAATTTTAACTGGTACCTTCGACCACTCCATGGGCGTGCTCAAGATTAATTGAAAAATTACTTTGAATAATTGTAAAAAATAAATGAATTATTTCAGTGTTATAAAGTGTTATGTGTATGTAAACAAAAGTGACCTCTTTTATCACACACTATATTAGAACTGACTGGCTTACATTAAAAAGGGTTTTAAAAAATTCACATTTTTTTTAATTTTTAAAAATTACAAAAGAGAAAAAGAGTTTTTAAAACCGTCTAAGATATGTTAAATAGATGAATAAAAATATTAATAAAAACTTACAGCTACTTGTTACAAATCCAAATCAGATTCAGAAGATGAACTTTCAGAACCCAGATTTATAATAACTGGCTCGATCATTTTATCAGAAATATTGTCCAGCTTCCACATTTTTTCCTCTTCTTTAATAGTGTGATTTACTGCCTTTTCCCAGTTTTCAGGTTTTACATTATTTACGTCCTCCAAAAACAACTGTTTAACATCATGAATTTTAAAAGTGGTATTTTTTCTTGAAACTTCACTCTTTATCTGTGCCCATACCAGTTCAATCGAGTTTAATTCACAATGATATGGTGGGGATCTAAGTACTGTCATTCCACGATTTTTGGCAATTTCATCAATTTCGTATTTTTTAAATTTTTTTTTATGAAGGGCACACAACGAATACAGTTCCTTTCTTATAGATCCGGGATGGTACGTAATATCTTTTGAACTCAGCCAATTCTGCAAGTTTTTTTTTTAACCACTTGGTTGTGGGCAGTCCTTCTATAAGTCTGGAGTGATAACTTGCATTATCCATTACTATTACACAGTTCTTAGGAAGAAGATCTATCATTTGTTCGAACCATTCTTGAAAGACATCAGCGTTCATGTCTTCATGGTAGTCACCGGTACGAGTTGATTCAAAAGTTAATAAACCACCTTCAACAAAACCGTCTGAACTGGCAATGTGTACTATTATCAGCCTGCGCCCCTTTCCTGATGGTGGGTTTAAACCAGTAGATAAGTTATTTACAAAAGCGTGCCTTTGACTTGTTACAGTTTCATCCTGCCAAAATTTATTTGGTGTATGACCCTCGTTGATCCATGTTTCATCAAGATAAAATATTTTTCTTTTTTGGTTTCTCATTTCCTTTATGGTTCTTAGAAAATGTCTTCTCCATATGACAATATCGCTTCTTTCTAATAAAATAGACTTTCTGGGATTCTTTTTCCAGCGGAAGCCTATTTCTTTTAAAAGTTTCCATAACGTACTTCGACTCATTTCTGGGTAATCCTTATCATCTCGAACTGAGACAAGAACTTTATCCAATGTTGGAAATTCTTGTCTAAAGAAGAATTCATGCATTTTCCGTCGAAGTCCTTCTTTATAATGATATTCTATTTGAAATTTTGGTTTCCCTGGAGCATTACGTGGCATTTCAAAACTACCACATTTCTCTTCTTTAATAACTCTGTAAATCGTAGATTTCCCAACACCAAGTGTACTGCTAACTAACTCAACAGTCTCATCAACGCTTTCACATAAACGTTTGTCTGTAAATGATTTAAAACAAAAACATTAATGTTTTTTCATTAACTGTTAAAGGACCAATTTTTTGGAATTTTCATTCATTAATTTTTAATAAACGAAAATTTCTCCACCCAGATAGGGTTCGAACTCACGACTGTAGGTTTAAAGGTAGGCGCTCTTACCACTGAGCCACAGAGGGGGTGTAATTAGTTAATATTAGGATTATGTTATGTAAAAAAATGCCCTAGGCCTTAATGGCCTGTTGTGCGCAAAAATAAATAAATTATTCTTAAAATAAAACACATTTATCTTTTCTATCCATCTAAGTTGCTTTATATCTATGAATTTTTGAATTTTGACCCGTCCTATATATAGATCATTGAGAGTTAGTGTTATCATAAGTGCGAGTATGTCTAAATAAATTTAAAACAGTTATGATAATAATTAACATTTGTATTTTCGTTTAAGAAAAATAAGTTTATGTTTTATGATATTGTATAAAATCATTTTTATGCAATTTTACAGTACATTTCCCAAAATATGTTAAAAGGTTTAGCCTTAAATTTTTTTAAAGTGTTCTTTCCCTTCAAATTGTATGTACGTAAACACTTTAGATGTTGGTGTGCTCAATATTCCTACTATAATTCTTGTAGTAAGTGCCAGTAGGAAGATGGCAACTGCTACAGATCGACGAAAATCTAATAAAATAACATTCGACGTATTGACTCGTTTTTAGAGTAGCCATGAATTTACTAATGCCCTATAAATCAAGTGTTCATATTCGCCAATACTACTTCTTAGCTCTGATTTTAGTGGCATATTTTCCAACAAACCAAGTAGTGTTGAACCAGCTTCAGTCTGATGTTACCTGGTGTACCCGTTGCATAGTTATTTTATACTGAATACAAAGTATAATAAATAATAATATTTTCATATCAGTACACGAAATTATCTCAGTGTATTATGAGTTGGATAATATTATATTTATTTCGGAGCATACCTATGCGTTCAGGCTACTTGGACTGAGTCACTGTAATTAACCTCAGCTGTTTGTTGGAAGAGTTAATATTAATGCTGACTATGCGTTCTGTCGTATACAACTTATGTACGTTTTTTTTTTTTTAATAATACAATATATTATTTTATTTTAGAGGGTAAAAACGACTGTGAAAATGCTTGGTTGACCCACAAGTGTTATCAATCGGAAGCACCAGACGTAAGTAACATAAATACTAGTTTATTCGATAACTATTTAGACTAAATCAGGGATGACTTAGTTTGCAAGAATATACTTGAGTAGAGGAAAGGCGCCTAATATCAGATAGATCTTTGTTTTGCTTATAGCTTTTGAACAACTGTATATTTTGACGTGTTATTACTTAAAAAGCAAGTTCATATTATATGGTAAATCAAAACAATATAAACAATTAGGATGTTTGTAAGAAAGGGACAGCATAAAATAAAATTAAAAAGAAATGTGCAAATTGGACGTATTAAAAATGTCTTGACTAATATCCGGACACCCTGGTGTTTTAATTTCGGATAGTAATTGAAGTAGAAACAGAAAATGCAAACATTAAGCACATAAACTTCATTTTTTTTATTATAAAGAAAAATCAAATTAAAATTAATTTTTCCAAACAAAAATTGCATAATAGCACTTGATTCACCCTTCTATCTAGGTATCCTCCAAAAAAAAAATAAATAACGTCAGAGTCGTAATCTAGAATTATAGAATCCTCTTCGGAATCATTCGACTTGTTTTTTCTAATGCAGCTTTGCCCTTATTTGTACACTGACTTGCGCCTTTTTTCATATCTTTGTTCAGATCTACATTTATTGATGTTCAATTTTCAGTTCCAGTAGTAAACATGAATGCTATATCTGCAATCCATGAGAACTATAAGGAGAAAGGCAGACAATCGTCAAATGATTATGCCTAGCTGCTTTAATTAGTTCAAGATTTTTTTATGGCTGTACTGTCCATCCAGTGAATGAAGTGAAATGAAGTAGTCAAAAAACCGGTCGAACACGTTGATTGGTATTTATAGTTGCGCATTTTTTTTCATAAAAACTTTTTATATGAGGTGTATCAAATAGCGGTGGCGAATACCAACTTGCGTATTTTAAATAGAACACCCCGTATATAAATTAATTTTTAAATTCCTTATATCATTTTAGACATTTTGAATATAATGTTCTATACATATTTTTGACTGATTCGGAAATATTAAGTAAAATAGAAAAATTCACAATTAGAAAAGAAAAATATTTATTTGTAGAAAGTCGCAACCACTGTCTTAATACTTCTTGCCAATTTAGGTCTTGGTAATGATAAAGTAAGTAAAAACTATTTAAGCATTCGTTTTTTATTGATATGAAAACCAAAAATTGTTTACTTTGGTTTAAAACCCTAATGTTTCATGACAGAAGTAGTTGTCAGTGCTATAGTCGTTTGAATTTCATTAACCGCAAGCCAGAAAAATGGTTCATATAACAAAAATGCAAAAAATTACAATTATACAGATGATTGGCTATGGAGATAAGGCAAGGACGCAGATGGAAGTAGCTCGTTTATTTCACGAATCACTTCCTAATTTGCCGCACATATCTAAAGGGAAAATTAGTAAAATAGAGAAACAATTCCACAAGCTGGGCAATGTTAGGAAGCAAAACACAAAGCTACCAATGCAATAAGTGAGGAGACCAAATTGGCTGTTATGCTTGAGTTTGGGGAATACCCACATACAACTGTTCGAAAAGCAGCCCAGTCGATATTAGCTGTTCATCGGTTATTCGAATATTGCAAAAAACAACAAAATGCATGCCTATAAAATTATATACACTCTGGAACTCATAGAAGATGATTTTGACAGGAGAACGTATTTTTGTAAACAAATGATGTCAATGTTAAACTGCAATGTGATCCAATTAGAACATGTTTTGTTTTCTAATGAGTGCACTTTTACTCTTCCCGGTAATACTCATCATCAAAATTGCCGCTATTGGTCCAGGGACAATCCTCACCGGATGAGGAGGGAATACTCAATACCCTGAGAAGTTTAACGTGTGGGCAGGAGCTATTAAAGATCAGATCATAGGTCCCTTTTTTATAGATGGCAATTTAAATGGCGACAATTATTTAGCATTGCTCCAAAATAATGTAGTGCCAACGTTGGCCAACTTGTAATTTGATCCAGGAATCTAACAAGTTTTAGCGAATATGATACAGTTCAACAAGATGGAGCACCACCCCACTACCAAATCCATGTCCGGTAGTACCTTAACCAAATATTTCCAAATCGGTGGATAGGGAGGCGAGGATCGAGGGAATGGCCACCATGATCCCCCAATTTGACGCTATTAGACTTTTTCTTATGGGGATATGTGTATACAAAACTAAACCTACTGACTTAGCTTACTTACGCAGACGAATAACGCTTGCGATTAGATCGAATAATCTGAGATGTTGAGTAACGTTAGAAAAAATTTTTATTCACGGTTAAAGTGTTGCCAAGACGTTCGTGGGAGCATTTTAAACTCTCCTATATTAACATTATTGTTTTGAAACCGTAAAGTAGTTTCGAAACACCTTCATCAACGTCTGTTTTGCTTTGCAATTTTTAGAAAGCACAGATTAAAGCAGAAATCTGAATTGTGTTTCAAAACTATTTTACGGTTTTATTATCAGATGTCGCTATTGCGTCCATATCGAAGCCATTTTAGTATTGCTTCTTAAAAGACAGAAAATATTGATCTTTCACGTTGAGAACACCTATGAATAACTGTTCTGATGAGACCTATTAGGTCGAAATACGTATCGACAGATACATAGGCGCTGTTTGCGTGAAATCAAATATTTGCTGTCTCTTTCATTTTATTCGGATCTACTCTGTACGAGTACAAGAAACCAATTCGCTAAGTATTTCTGCTTAGTTGAAAAGACATGTCGTGGAATGCAAATTTTTTGGATTCCCCATGTCTCTTTTAACACCTTTTAACACCTTCATCAACGTCTGTTTTTCTTTGCAATTTTTAGAAAGCACAGATTAAAGCAGAAATCTGAATTGTGTTTCGAAACTAGTTTACGGTTTTATTATCAGATGCCGCTATTGCGTCCATATCGAAGCCATTTTAGTGTTGCTTCTTAAAAGACAGAAAATATTGATCTTTTACGTTGAGAACACCTATGAATAACTGTTCTGATGAGACCTATTAGGTCGAATTACGTATCAACAGATACATAGGCGCTGTTTGCGTGAAATCAAATAATTGCTGTCTTTTTCATATTATTGTTTTGATTTCTATTATTTAATTTTTTTTAATATGCTGTAGCAACTTTTTGGCAAATAAATAATATTCTTTTCTAAATGTAAATTTTTGCATTTTACTGAATATTTCCGAAACAGTCAAAGATAGGTATAGGATAGATATAGGGTATTGTATCCAAAAAATGTCTAAAATGATCTGAGAAATCCTAAAATTATTTAATATACAGTGTGTTCTATTTAAAATAAGCAAGTTGTTATTGACCACCGTTATCTGAGACACCCCGTATAAAAAGTTTTTATGGAAAAAAAATGCGCAACTATAAAATATTAATCGACGTGTTTAATCGTGTTTTCAAATACTCACTCATTTATTTATTAGCTAATTTATTTCATTTTACTGCCTCTACATCCTCTAGCATAGCTACAGCCGACCAACATTTATGCTTTTCACCCCTTCCAGTCATTTCTGAAATAAAAAATTATCGTAAATATTTGATATAATATAATAACCATCTCACTTTTGAACTAAGGCAAAAATGGTTAAGTGCTATGTTTGGTCTGTACTTTTGTATAGTGCAGAAGTGTGGACGCTTAAAGTATCGATCATGAACAAAATTGAAGCATTGGAAATGTGGGTTCATTGACGAACGCTGAAGATACCTTGGACAGCAAGAAAAATTAATGAAGAAGTATTAATTAAGGAGCGTCAACAAAGACAGAGAACTGCTAAAGACTGTTCAACATCGAAAAATGTCTTAACTGAGACATGTAGTAAGGGGAAGTCGATTTAAAATTTTACAACTGATCCTTAAAGGGAAAATAGATGGCTCTAGAGGTGTAGGAAGAAAATAAGTTTCTTGGTTAAAAAACATTCGTGAATGGACTCAGATACCAAATGCAGGACAATTATTTCATATTGCAGACGATCGAGAAGCCTTAGCAATGGTGATCGCTAACGTCGGATAATTCTGATATGGCACGCGAAGAAGAAGAAATATTTGATTCTACCAAGTTTTATAATATTGGATATCCGATTTTGGGAGCATACCATATATTCGAAATTAGGTAACTCAACGTTATACAGGTTGGATTTAAAAAACAGATATTTTTTTAAATTATAATTTCTATTAATTCCAACAAAAAGCAGACTATTTGACTCACCTTAATCTGTAATTAAAACAAGATACGATGAAAAATACAGTAGTTAACACAAATAAAATCCAATGGTTTAAAAAAGTCTACTCTAGTGTTTCAAGATAGTTTAACTGCCGATGACTAACTGTACTTTAATTCGGAGATTTTTTTCATTGAAACTAAATACGATATTTTCTTTTATTAAAAATATTATAAATTTATTTTATTACAACTTAAAAACAACCCTTATTAGCATGTTAGGATGGGTGAAAGTATATATGTGCCTTAATAGCACATTATGTGTATGTTACAATTATCCAGTGCACGCATTCTAATATATCCTAAAATATGTTATTGTATGTAACGTATGTTTACAGAAAAACAAAAAACCACAAGGTTCAGACAAGTAGAATCTATATTTTTTTACTTTTCAAGATGTTTCGTATCACTTATACTTTTTAAGTTATTTTGAAAGAAAAGGTATTTTTCAAAATTTCAAAAATTTTTCTTTTATTTTAAAACCAAACTTGTTTAAAAATAAGCACTTTGAACCGGTCAAAGTTATAGATTATAAAACAATACACAAATAAAATAACGAAATGAAAAATACCAGTTCCTCCAACTAATAATCGAGGGTAAAATTGAAGGCAAGAGAGGAATGGGACCCAAGAAAATGTCCTGGCTCCGAAACATAAGGCAATGGACAAGGATTAACGACATACAATCTCTGATACATATTGCAAGAAATAGAGAATTAATGGAAAATGTGATTGCTAACATCCATTAGTGGATTTGCATCTGAAGAAAAAGAAGAAATAAAATAAATTGTAAAGCGATAACGATTAATTTTATTTAGGATGATAATTAGGGACTGATTTTTACGATGTTTTTACCAAAAAAAAGGGTTCAACTTTATTTATTATTTGTGAAAACGTCTGAAAACGTGGTTTTTGATTTTGAAAAATGAACATTTTCACTCGCGAATATGTCGTGAGTATTGACTTGTAGAAAAAACTCATTTTTTCTTAGGACTCTCAGGACTTATTTTGAACACATATGTACAGTTGCTCATGAAACCATGTATATATAAGTTATATATTATGTAATACTGTATTCAACAACAGAGTATCAATTAATTAACACAGTTTTTAACAAAAATTAATTGTAATTTATATTTTTTTCAGGATTACTTTCTCATTTAAACCTGTTGATATCTTCATAAATATTAATTAGATAGGTAGGTTGTAATATTTTTTTTATTTTAGTATATGCTTATATTTGTTTTCCTTAAAATTCAAAATAAAATAGGTTTCAATAGTATCGTATGGCAGACTGTGTCACATGCTTTATCTATATAAAAAAATACTGCAATACACTGTTTACCAAATACCATTATTTTGGTATTGATATAAAATATAATTTTATATCAATACCTAGTAGGTCTTCTTCTTAGAGTGCCATATCCCTACGGAACGTCGGCGACTACCATGCTTATAATACGTATTGTTATACAGACCTCGGTCTTGCGCTACGTTAGCAATTGGTCCGCTGTCAAACCTGTCCACTGCCACAAATTCCTCAACCAAGAGAGTTTCTTCCGTCATATCCATTTCTTGCCTTCGATTTTACCGTTGAGAATTAGCCGAAGGAACTTATATCTTGCTCCTCTGATTATATGTCCAAGATATTCTAGTTTACGCCTCTTAATAATATTCAATAGAGTTCGTTGATGTCCCATTCTTCAAAGAACTTCTTCGTTTCTGGTTCTGCTAGTCCATGGAATTTTTAGTATCCTTCGATACAACCACATCTCAAACGCCTCGATTTTATTCATGATATCGGCGTTTAAAGTCCATACAAAAGTACAAACCACACGTAACATCTTGTAAACTTTTCACGGATTTCCAAATTTAATGAGTTATTGGATAATAGAGGCTTGAATTTTTGAAATGAGTTTCTTGCCTGTTCAATTCTACATCGAATTTTAAAAGATGGATCCAGATTTTGGGTAATCCAACATCCAAGGTATTTGAATCTTTGAACTCTCTGCAGCGGTTGTTGATTTAATATCAGTTGGGTTGCACCGATATCCACTTTACTGGTCACCATGTATTTAATTTTATCGATATTTATCGACAGTCCCCAATTTGTGCATTCCATGTCAACTCTATTGATTAGCTCCTGCAGATCGTCGATGGTTTGAGCTAGAATCACAGTATCGTCGGCGTATCGTATATTGTTAATTATTTCTCCTCCTATGATAACTACTTTTTATCTTTTAAAGCTTCCCTAAATAGATTCTCAGAATACACGTTAAAGAGGGTGGGAGATAGTATACAGCCTTGTCTTACGCCTCGTTCAATACTGATTGGCTTTGATTATTTGTTGTTGGTATTAAAAATGGCTGTTTGGTTCCAGTAAAGTTTGGAAATAAGTTTGATGTCTTTCTCATCTAGTTGGATGCTCTGCAAGGCGGTAATTAGTCTGGTATGCTGCACGCGATCAAATGCCTTTTCAAAATCAATGAAGCACATTATATACTGGTTTTCTTACCTCCCAACATCGTTGAAGCAGTGTTTGCATAGAAAATAGTGCTTCTCTAGTTCCAAGGCATCTCCGGAACCCGAACTGCTCTTGACTAACTATTTCTTCGCACTTGTTGTTCATTCGGTTTAGAAGAATATGCAACAGTATTTTAACGGCATGGCTCATTAAACTAATGAGTTTACAATCGCTACATTTCTTAACGTTTGGTTTCTTAGGTAGAGGAATAAAGATCGATTTTAACCATTTTATTTAATTGAAAAGTACAGTGAGTTCTTTTATATTGTCATTTGAGAGTAATCTTAGCCATTCTCTGTATATTTGATATGGTCCACTGGCTTTGTTGTTTTTGGCTTGGTGTATGGCTTTTTCCACTTCAGCTTTTAAAATTGATGGTCCTGTATTTGCACTTAAGTTAGGTAGTGATCCTCGATTATCCTTAAATATTGCTTTAATGTAGTTTTCCCATTCCTCCATTACTTCGTCTTCTAGAGATAGTGCATGACCTTCATTATTCGTTAATGTTATGGGTGTATTTCTTTTGTGTACTATAACTTCTTTTATTTTCTTATGTGTGTTAAATTCGTCATGTTTTCGCTGCAATTCTTCTAGTTCCTCACATTTTGCTCGTATCTATAACTCTTTGGCTTCCCTGATTTTTCTTCGAATCAGATTATGCTTTCGTTTATACTCTGAGTTATTTCTATTTTGAAGCTGTCTTCTTTCGTCCATCATTTCGATTTTTTCATCTTTCATTTACGCTTGCTTTTTATAATGGTGACAGTTCCACTTTGTGTTGCTGTATCGATGATACCATTCTTTATGTTATCCCATCTTTCTTCGACTGTTGGTACATTGTATACTTGTGTGATGTTGATCGAAAAAACCAACACCTTAAAACGCAAAGGTTTACCCGTTAACCTTGGGTAAACATTTGCGTTTTAAGTTCAAAGCTACCATGCATTTCCAACGTTAACTAAAATAACTTTTTTGCACATAGTAACAAAAAAACACCACTAGGTATGTTGTTACTAGCTAGGGTTTTTTAACATCATAACTCGACATTTCTAAAATTTACGGTAAGGGAAATGTTTTTTATTAGATAATATATGGTAGCTAATTATAATTTATTCTCTTTTAGCCCTGAAGAAGCCAAATTAATTCTCTTTGGCGAGAACGTTAGGTGAAATAATTGATACACATTAGAGTTTTTCTTGCAGATTTCCCCAATATTTAAGAGTTTACTATTTAACTTATCTGCAAAGATTAAATTTCTTTTCTATATATATATATATATATATATATATATATATAATATATATATATATATATATATATATACTTCTTTGGTAGGTTATTTTCGGGAAAGCGTCAAATCAAGGATCGGCTAGAGATGGTATAAGCCAGTTTGGTGTAGAACTTTATTCTAAATGTGAAATTTTCGGTGATAGGCTGTCACATTCATCAGCACCTAAATGGAAAACCTATTTAGTACACGTGATGGAAATCAACAATTTCACATTTAGAATAAAGTTCTACACTAAATTGGCTTATACCATCTCTAGCCGATCCTTGATTTCTTGATTTGACGCTTTCCAGAAAGTTACCTTCCAAAGAATTGTATTCTTAGCGTCGTTATATATATATATATATATATATATATATATATATATATATATATATATATATATATATATATATATATATATATATATATATATGCGTGTGTGTGTGTTTGTGTATGTGTAAATTATTGATACAATTTATTGAATTTTTCCATAACCTCATTATCTTCCGATACCACACCTTTGGGTCACCGTATACATACGCAAGATTTCCACCATTGTTTTCGTAAAAAGTTTTTTGTCTCAATCTTGCCGAGTCACAGTTCAGGTGCGTAATTTGATATTTCTAAATCGTGCACGATGGCGAAACCATCAGAATTTATGAAATTTTCTTTTGACCTTATTTTTATTAGATATTATTAAAATCTATTGATTGAAAGCTAAAAGGTGGTACAAATTAGATTTAGATAATTTGTTTTGTCGTTAAATAATCTTTGTTTATAATACTTTCAAGGTTTACTATCCAAATAATAAATTTTTAATTTTCATTTAAATATGAATTCGTGTGTATAATTTACTATTGCATCAATTCAATTAAGAACTGATCAATTGGTGTTTAGCCAAGCCCATTAAACCAAAGGAACATACATCAATGAAATCAATAATATCAATAGTAATGAAATATTTTTTATAATAAAATCTGAGGAAACGGTTCAACGTGTCCATATGCATATTTACATCATGAGTCTTAAAAATATTTTGAAATAGATAATTTTGAAAGTAAAGAAACGAAAAACAATAAAGCATCTGACCAAAATTTATCAAACAGTGGACAAATATTCACTTAGTAAAACTACCTTTCATCTGTATTAAAGGTTTTACTCCTGCTAGTAATTTCCTTTTTCACATTATGTTATTTAAGGGTCATCTGACATCGTTATGTGGTTAGTTTCAACTACTATAAAGTCGTGAATATTTTACATGTATAACTTAAGCCTCAAAATTTTACCTGTTTGCTTTAATTTTTAACGTAGTAATACTTATTTCTAGGTTTCTTACTAATAATGGTCTGATAAGATTGAAAACGTTGTGAAACTTTATAAATCCATTTTGGTTTTTTTTAAACAGTTTAATACCATATTACATAAGAGGTTTATCCACTGAGATTTTCCATTTTAAATTTTAACACCGTATTAGTTCTATTTTTAATATAAAATTTATTTTTCAGGAAAGAATAACAACGAACTATTTATTTTTATCGTAGAAATAAAAATAAAAATTGTTATATATCCAAAGATTGGATAACTATAGATGTATGTTAAGCATAATTACCAATCCTATACCTAATCGTAGAGCTAATAGTTTTATAATACACTGTGACCATCTATGTATTTGTTATTGTTTTTAAAGTATCAGTAGGTAGCCTGTATTATATTTGTTATTATTTAATCTAAAAAATATATACAAATACTTATAATTTCTCTTGTTGTATTTTTATTATTAAAAGAGTTATATTACATAATATAATAATCTATTATTGTCATCGTCTAACGCTGCACTGTTAGACGATGGCAATACAGTAGGACCTCTTCATTTTAGAAAAATATTAGACATTAAAAAATGCACAGATTCTAAAACTGTTTTTTAACCCATGTTTAAGTTAAATTGATTAAAACCACAATTGATTGTAACGAAAATTACATTCAATACTCGTTTTGACGTTTCGATCTTGAAATTAAAAAGAATAAGAAATAAATACAGTATCACAAAATTCAAAACAGCCAATACACTGAGATCTGTTATCATCAAAACCAAATTAAATAACACACAGAAGAGATTAAATAACTGCTTCTATTAAAAACCTTGTGTACACAATACTTTTTACGTGGGAGATACTTCAAGACCTCTTAGTGGTAGGTAAATGATAATAAATCATACAATAAAATAGAATATATTAACAAAACAATAGAATTAATCAAAATATTGAAACTTTACACAAAGATCCGACAGAAAAATATCAAAAACAAATTAAGCTAGCTTTAGAAAATTCAAAATCAATACTAAATCCAAGAGAACAGAAATACCTCAATATCATGAACCCACAGCCTCCTAAATTATACTCTTTCATTAAACTACACAAACCGGATCACCCAATAAGACCTGTAGTTTCTTTTTATACAGCTCCGTCATATAAAATTTCAAAAAAACTGTTAGAGATTATTTTAGAACACACTAAATTTTCACCTAAATTTACCATAAAAAATACAATAGAACTAGTTAATACCATACAACATTTTCAATTACCTAACAACTCCAGATTAATTTCATTTGACGTAAAAAATTTTTTTCCTAGTATCCCTCCTACAGAAACTTTTATTCTAGTAAAAAACCTTTTAGACCAAATTAGTACAAATCCAATAATTACATCTGAAATTTTACATGTTCTTGAAGTTTGCATAAACCAGGACTACTTTGAACAGTGCAGGACTTATAATGGGTAATCCTCTAAGCTCATTGCTATCAGATATTTTTATGGATCATCTAGAGACAAAGCTTTCAAAACATCCCGTATTCAAACAGTTTTTATATTGGTGGAGATACGTAGACGACGTACTGGTATGTTTCACAGAAACTAACAGGCAACTCGACCAATTTTTATCGTATATTAATTCACTTCATAGTCATATTGAATTTACAATAGAAACAGAACAAAATCAATCCATAAATTTTTTAGATTTGAAAATTAGCAGACTTCAAAACAAACATGACTTCTTCATATTTCATAAACCTACCCATACTAACACGACTGTACACAATTCGTCATCCCATCCAACACAACATAAACTGGCAGCTTATCATAGTATGTTACATAGATTAACAGAAATTCCGATGTCAAAATACAACTTTAAGACAGAATTAAATATAATTAAGCAAATAGCAGTAAACAACGGATACAACGAACAAACAATTAATAAAATGTTAAATTAAAAACTACACAAAAAAGGCTTGAAATTAGTATTTCCACCACCAGAGAAAAAACCCAGTACCTTCTGCTCGATTACATATACAGGCAAAATAACAACAAAAATTGCCAAACACATAAAAACAAACGGAATAACACCAGCTCTCCAAACAAATAACATCCTAGGCAAATATATTAAAAATAACAAGAGCCAAATAAAAAACACTTAAATAGTGGTGTGTACAAACTTCAATGTGGCGACTGCCCAAAAACTTACATCGGTCAAACTGGTAGAAACTTTGATAAACGAATAGCAGAACATAAAAGGGCTTTCAAGAATAGAAAAACAGATTCGACATACGCACTTCACCTTCTAGATCATAATCATTCCTTTATTGACAAATTTAAAATTCTTCACATTCAAAATAAAGCCCTTAAGCTATCTTTGTTAGAATCTATGGAAATCAACAGATTAAAAAACACAGATATAATTCTAAATGACCAACTTAAGACAAACAGTTCTCCCCTCCTCAACCTATTTCATTAGAGACTATAAATTTGTAAACCCAAGTCAAAATAGATCACTTGAGAAAGGCAATCAGCCGAAACAGCTGTAGGGATAATATTTAAAATAAATTTTGTGGAAGTTTGAAAACAAAGTTTTCAGTGTTTTATTGTTACATAAAATGGAGACTCTGACAGATGCCAGAGACAATGAACATACAATACACAGAAAATATTCATTATTAGTCATGCAAGAAACAAAGAACAAAAAGCGAAAAAGACAAAAAACAATGAAGCACCACTCATCTTACTTCGTCTTACAAATCTATCAACAGAATGAAGCAGGCTCTGGTTACTGGAAGAAGAGGTCAGCAATAAGAATATAGAATACAGTGCGCACTTAAGGTTTAATCAGGTGTAAAATCCAAACCAATTGCGTTTAAAATATATATTGTGTTTATTGTTTAAATATTATTTAAGTCTGTCGATACACAAACAACAAAATAAAATATAATTTGCGAACTAAACTATAATAAAAAAAATTAAACTTTAAAAAGTGCTTTTGCCAAACTCGCAAAGTGTTCATTTAGGATTGTAAGTTCATTTAGGATTGTAAGACTGTGTACGTAATTTTATAAATATAGGTCACATTTATAGGATCCAAAACCCGTTTAGGCACTGTACTTTTTATGCCACTATTTAGCACACGATATGCACTCAATCCAGTCTTCTGTGATAGGTTCTTTTAATGTTTCGTTGCATCCTGGACATCTCAAAATTTTTATATGAGGCGTTGTTTTTTGCTTTGTGAAAAAAGCTTTTTTATTCTTCTGTATCTGCTCTTTCGGTCTAAGGTTCACATCATTCCTGTAAACTCTCTCCCGGAAGCACCTGTGGTGGTGGTAGGTTATCGCCAACATCTAGTTTGAGTTTGTATTTCGGCTTTTTTCTCTCTTGTTCTTCAATTAGTTGGTCCTTCTATGGAGAACTGGTGATAATTTCCGACTTTTTGCTTCTGCGATTTGTTGATCTAACCGCAATTGATTTGGGTAACTAAGAAATGGTTTTTAATTTAATACAAACTGATAATGTTCCAGGAGTGTTTGTTAAATATTTTGGTTTCAGGCGCTACAGCAACTTTTTCTTTCAAAGTTGAAATTATTGCAGAAGTGTTCGAAATCAGATTTGTAAGCTAAGGTGTATTGTTTTTAATCTGTAATATCCTTTTTATACACTTGAGTTCAGATGTAGATATTTCCAATTATAGAATTCTCAAGAACAATAGTTGAACTATCCAGTACATTGGTAGTATTTTCAGAGACTGATTCAGACATTTGATGTAGTTAAAGATGTATTTTTTTGTACTATCCAGTACATTGGTAGTATTTTCAGAGACTGATTCAGACATTTGATGTAGTTAAATATCGATTTCAGAAGTAGAGTTATCAGCGAATTCTAATTATATGTTAAGCCCTTTTACTTCCGTAGTTACTGTAGCTGTAGCAGGTTCTTCTCATTCTGTCACAAAAGTGATCATAAAGTCAGCTTTAGTAAATATGTCATTTTTAAAATATCAGCCCATCTAAAATATGCAGATGCATATATTGAAGCAATTTGGTAAATCGTAATTACTTGCCCTGGATTTTTTGTCAGCCATTTTTCACATTCGTTGAAGCTCACTGCGATTTGAAATGGGTGTATCACTTACTTTTCTACACTGCTTACGTCAGACCATCTTTACTCAGTAGCGCCGGCCGATGGGTAGTTTAATGATAACCAATGCATTATTCTCCATTCAAATTAGTTTTGTGGGGAATACCTTTATAGATTGATTATCGTAGATAATGTTTTAAAAAGAATTATCACATTTTTAATTTATATGTCTTAGCTAAATATAGTATTGAATAAACATTTGTGAAACGTGGCTGCAAAAAACATCATGGTGTTTATTTATAATAAATTTAGAATAACATAAAAATATTATTATAAAAAAAATTACAATTGTCGCAAACAAATAAACAATTTCGCACTTATAGCTTGAAAATGATCTCAAGAAGTTATTTATTTGTTAGAGGTAACCGATATTACCCTTGTAAAAATTAAACAAAGACTTCTTCTTCTTCTTTGGGTGCCGTGTCCGTATTCAGACGTTGGCCGTCATCATGTTTACAATTTCCTGAAACCTTTCTCTGTCGGCTGCTGCGCGAAATAATTCTTCTACTGTGGAACCACACCATTGTCTAATATTACGCAGCCATGAAAGTTTCTTTCCAATCCATCTCTTTCCTTCCACTTTTCCTTGTATTATAAGGCGAAGTAAATGGTATTTAGGTCCTCTAATTATATGGACGAAGTATTCTGTTTTTCTCCTCTTTATGGTGTTTATGAGCAGACGTTCTGAATTGACCATTTGAAGAACATCTTCATTGGAAGTGTGCGAAACCCACGATATCTTTAGGATTCGTCTATAGCACCACAATTCGAATTCGACCTAATCTAACCTAAACAAAGACTATTTTTATTTATCTATAAAAAATTGGTATTTTACTGGGACTCATTTCTAATCTTGTCACTTATAACTTATATCAATAAACTAACATAATACTTAAAAATACTCATAAACTAAGGAACTTGTAACGTACACCAGTAAACTAATAATATTTTACTTAACTATAGCCGTAAAATGAAGATTTTCAATGTTTTAAAAATAACTAAGAATACTGTAAACTGTAAACACCAAGCAAGTTAATGAAGAAAATACAAGAATGAATAACTGAAAATGGATTCCGTTTCAAGCGAACTAACTGACCGTACGTTCATGATATTTCACGTCACGAAGGCGATAACGATCAAACTAAGCGCCAATGATGAGCAACACGTTTCACTATTAGATTTCAGTATTTTTAGCAATTTTTTTTAAGTTGGAACACGCTTTTCTCGATTATTACTGGACACAGAAAGGTGAAAAAAAAAACAACGATTACAGAA